GTTGCAGCTCCAGCCCACTGGAACGAGCTCCCCGTTGAGATCCGGACCCTCACTACCCTTCCGGCCTTCCGCAAAGCGACTAAGACCTGGCTGTTCTGGCAGGCCTGGGGCTGTTGAGTTGTCCAGCCCACTTCAGGTTTGTGACTGTTGTGTAATTTTAAACTGTTGTTTATTTTTTTTTATATCCTCCCTCCCTTTTATTGTAAGCCGCCCTGAGTCTCTTTTGAGAGTGGGCGGCATACAAAATTTAATAAATAAATAAACAAATAAATAAATAAATAAATATTGTTTCAAATATAAAAAGTAATAGATCCCAAGGAGTGAAAAGTCAAGAGTGAAGTTTAAAACCACTCTCTCTGCCAAATATCTGTTAGTTTGTAGACATCTGTTTTTTTTTTTACATGAAAAATCTACATAATTATTAAGTATTAGAACGGAATGTTGCCAACGCTTAATAACATTCACGGAATTCCTTCCCCCCACAAATGATGGTGTCTTTTTATTGAGATGGAATATGTCTGTTAGATTTTCTGGAAGTGTCATATTTAGGAATAAATTCTGAGCTGCTTTCAGAACTGACAGATCAAATCAGTGCAGAAAATAAACAGCTGATCAGCAGATGGCCATGGCACAAACATATGGAGTGAACTCCTTTGCTTTGGAATAGTTCCTAGAGTAATCTCTGAGGCACTGAAACTCATTTCACTAAATCTATTAATTAAATATTTACCTATATAAATATGACATGATTCATTACATTGAATTTACCTTCAGTTTTATGAAGGAAATGTCCTAAATGTGCACAGATATTAATTATAAGGATATAAAATTGTTTTAAGTGGTAGTCTGCATTTGTCATTTCTTTTTGAGGAACAATCCCTGAGAAGATTTGTGGATCTCCTGGACTTCAAATCAAAACATAGATCTGGTGTCAGCAAAAAACAAGCACTAGTGTTTTTTTAATATTTTCCCAAAAGGCTAAATTCTAGACTTCAAATAATTTGTTAGATGTACAGCCAAGGAAAAGGAGACTTCCCTGCTTCAGGCATCTTCCGGAAGCTTATTTATATGCAGTATGTCAAATAGAGAGTCTCACTGCAAATTTGTAAGATTCATTTATAACAGTTGACAGCGTCAGTAAGTCATGGACTTAGACTATGATTTCTGCTTGGATGACAAGGGAATTAAAAAAGCATACTTTCATAATAAGAATGTCAGGTTTCTTTCCACCAAGAAACTAAATATGTACATTTTCTTGGAAGTTATCTTCATAAACGAATAAGAATATGAAGTTATATTTGTAAAAAGAAAGCCTAGAGAATGACAGATATGTGTACTGCAAATATACATTTTCCACCACTGAGCTTATCAAACTGAAAAGGAAAAACAAGAAAACAAACAGAGGTCAATGTTAACCCCTTTGGAAATGGTTTAGATAAATTGTTTAGATTTAGATAGTTGAAAATTTAAAACATCTAAAAATGATGTATTCCCATCTGTTCATTGCTGAGCAATGGATTAGTAATACCTTGAGTTCTCTTTTCTGCCATATCAATCAGCCAGGGAGTATCTTATGACATATTCCAAATTGCTTTGAAGGATGTTATAGTTGAAAACTAGGATATGGATTCATTAAAAAATAAAATGCTATGAAGTTTAAGAACAGAAAAAAGAGATCGTTTATTGAATTAACTGTTAACTTGCTATAGTGTTTCCCATGAATCCATGACAATGAGTAAAACACAAGGGAAAAGGATTCCAGTGAACCTACATTCACAAGAAACCATCTTACCCCTAACATTTTAAGTTAATTAATAGATCCAGGAGGTGTGACAAACTACTTTTCTCTCTGCATGCTTAATTTTGTACAATCTTTGTCAACCTTGTTTCACTCCTGTCATCATGACATTTCTTGATTAGTGTCTGTTCCCAATTGTCATTAAATTATCATTTTATTATATTCATCTGATTTTTTTCAATGATGCCATGTAGATTGGAATAGAAAAAGCCGATCGAATTTATGAAGAGTTACCTGACATGGAAAAGATTATCGGAGTTTTACAAGATTATCTTGATGATTACAATATAACAAGCTCTAAAGAGGTCAAGCTGGTATTTTTCCAAGATGCAGTAGAGCATGTTTCAAGGTAAATAATTATCATTAATTTAGTATTAATATTATATATACATTGAATATCGTGTGTGTGTGTGTGTTGCATTTGTGCTGATAAATAAATAAATAAAGGGAGACTAGTATAGATCTATTTCAAGCTATTCAAGCTCTCATCAGCTAGCCATACCCTTACTGGGATTTGAACCTGTGCTGTATTACATATTAGGCAGTTGTGTTAGCCACTAAGCCACAGGTTCTCCTCCTTTATCAGCTGAGCCAGGGAAATAGGTATGTAATTTTGTGTCACAACCCCTGGTATGCCCAAATATGGGAAGAAGCATACTGCTTTCCTTTCTCTGTCTATCGGCTCATCTCAAGAGACCATCCAGACAGAAAGCCATTATTTTTACTGTTGCCTTTTTGTTACATTTGTGTTGCATTTTTGCTGATAAATAAAGCTTAGTGGCTAATACAACTGCCTAATATGTAATACAGCACAGATCCTCCTATATTTGGGCATACCAGGGGTTGTGACACAAAATTACATACATGTATGTATGTATGTATTTCGCTCTACATGGGGCTGCCCTTGAAGAGGGTTCGAAGACTTCAGTTAATCCAGAACGCAGCCGCGCGAGCTATTGTGGGTGCACCCAGGTACACCCACGTCACACCTATCCTCCGTGAGCTGCACTGGCTACCCATTAGTCTCCGAATCCGCTTCAAGGTGCTGGTCGCTACCTATAAAGTCCTACATGGCATTGGACCTGGGTACCTGAGAGACTGCCTCCTGCTGATTACCTCCCATAGACCGATCAGATCTCACAGGTTAGGTCTCCTTCGGATTCCATCCGCCAACCAATGTCAGCTGGCGACCCCCCGGGGGAGAGCCTTTGCTGTTGCAGCTCCAGCCCTCTGGAATGATCTCCCTGTCAAGATCTGGACCCTTACGACCCTCCCGGCTTTCCTCAAAGCCACCAAGTCCTGGCTGCTCCAGCAGGCTGGGGGGCCTGTGAAACATCCAGCCCCGCGGAAATTGTGAATGTTGTGGTTTTGTTTTTAAAGTGTTGTCTTTGTCTAGTCTTCCCCCTTCCCTTGTCTATTGTGAGCCGCCCGGAGTCCTTTGGGAGTGGGCGGCATACAAGACAAATAAATACAATACAATACAATGTGTATATGTATGTATGTATATGTATGTATGTATGTATGTATATGTATATATATGAAATATATGACATACCTTTGTCACATATAGGTAGTCTTCAGGTTACAACTGCAATTGTGACTAGCCTTCCAATTAATGAGACAGTGAAAACTTAATAATTCAAGTCGTTAGCAAGGAAAAAAAGAATTATTAAGCTTTCATCTGAGAATATAAGCAGTTCCAAGCTGTGCATATTTTTGTAAAATTAAAGTATTCACGTCTGATAAATTTTACATTCCTAAATATCAAGAGTATCCTTTTTTATTACCCTGCCTTCTACATATAGACAGTGGATGTATCTAATACTCCTGCTCTCTCTTTTCCCCACAACAACTTTTCTACATCTCTCTCTAAGAGAATGACCAGCCCTAATCTCCCAACTGGCTTTTATGCCTAAGGGAAGCCTAGAACTCAGAGTTCCTGAGTCCCAGACCAATTCGTTTGTCAAAGTGAACCAAAACTAGATATACATAGACAATACATATCAGAGATATAGCGCTCCTTCTGTCTCTATTTCTTGACTTTAAAATTATTCTATCTTGGTTTTTACTTGGCTCTTACTTTACTAATTTTTTATGGTTTTTAATTTTTTTACCTGTGATCTGCTCAGAGTGACTCTGTGTGTGAAATGGGCAATATCTAAATTTTATTAATATAATTTATATGTCATATCTAATTTATCTCATTCTCTATATCACTATATCATAACTATATCTAGCTAGGTAGCTATAAACAAACCAACCATTAGGTCAGTTTCCAAGCAAGCAAAGACAAGCTCACTCCAATATGTGAACCTAATTTTATATGTCCTTCACCATATTTTAGGTAATGTGACATTTGAATAAAGTAAGATTATCACCCCACCCTGTTGAAATCTAAAAATATTCCACAGAGATTGCAGAAAGACTCATAATATTTAGGTGGAGAGCACTGAAGAGTAGCATAAAGATAGGAAAAAGATGCATGTGTCAAAGCTGTAGAAAGCACTATGTAAGTCATATTCAAAGTAAATATGGTACAAATAGTTAAAATATAAAACAAAAATTTGCATGGTATGCAAATAGGGCAAAGAACAAAAAAGGAAAATGCCAGTGAGCAACCTAAACCATTGAAGCCATCAATAAGCCTTGTACCAAAGTACAGCAAACCACAATTTCATAAATCAGAACAGGTTTGGTGGTGATTATATTATATTTCATAAACTTAATTCTTCCTGGTCAGAAGGGGTAACCAAATCTAACACAGGAAATTATATTGAGATTTTTGCCATCAAATTTTAATTACGTGAGTAAGGGTGATTCTTGAGCCATAATAAGAGGGTGCTTGTATGTGTATTGTAGTCATGTCCTAGGAGAGTATTAAAAGAAAATTCCTCTGCTTCAATCCCTGTACATAGAGTATGTCACAGATGAATAAGGTAGAATGGTGTTTTTACTTTTGTAAGTTTTATCAAAGTCAAATGTCATTTCAATTTTCTGCCTAGAATTGCTCGGATGATTCGTCAGGAAAGAGGAAATTCCCTCTTGGTGGGTGTTGGAGGCACAGGGAAGCAGTCTCTGACTAGACTTGCATCTCACATTTGTGGCTATAAATGCTTTCAAATAGAACTAAGTCGTGGCTATAATTACGACACTTTCCATGAAGACCTTAGGAAGCTATACAAAATGGCAGGGGTGGAAGACAAAGACATGGTTTTCCTTTTCACAGACACCCAGGTATGCTATAATAATATTGAAATTCATTTTGCACTTAGAGCACTATGAATATAATGAAATGCGATGTGATTTATGTACTTTTGTTCATGCAGCCAAAGCAGTTCAGAAAGGGAATATTAAATGCCATTCAATGTTTAAAGTTCTGATAAGACACTGAAAGTAGATACACTCTGCTAGCACAGGATGAAGATAAAATTTGGATTCATTCATGTTTCTGCAAGATGTGGGCTGTCATTTCTTTGTTTGTTTGTTTGTTTTTGGCAAAACAGGTAGACCTTGATTTACAACAGTTCACTTGGTGACCATTCGAAATTACAACAGCACTGAAAAAAGTGGCATGATCATTTTTCACACTTATGACCGTTGCAGCATCCCCATAATCTGATTTCACATTGAGTCTTTATTGATTAGTCCTTGGGCCATATCAAAGTTCAAAGTTCCAGAAACAAATTATTACTAAAATTTGATAAAAGCAATATAAAATTAAATTTGATAAAATACAATTTAAAATGGAATTGGAATTTAAAAAATGATTTAAAATGGAATTGTAATAAAATACAGTCTAAAATGAAATTGGAATCGAATACAATAATTTAAGATATACATAAAATATGATAAAATTATATTTCGGCGTCATCCCTGCAAACTACCCCGATCAGTCCCACATATGCAGATCTCAACCAAACCATTTTGTTTAAGTCCTATGCTGTGTTGAATGTTATTTTCCAGTTCTGGCTGCACATAAGGTAAGTTGTTTTGATATGGGGATCCCAATGGGTCATTCGTTTGGTATATTGACCAAGGTACTTGTCTCTCATCCCCTTATAAAGCAACAATCAAATAGGATCTGAGCCAGGTCTTCTACCTCTGCTGCTCCGCAAATGCAGAAACTCTCACTCGCGTAAATATCTCCATAAGATTTTTTGGCAGTTGTAACTTCAAATAGCTGTCTACTTGAAAAGTATGTCTGTATTTACTCAGCATTTCAAGTTACCCACCTTACTAAGAATACCCATGATCAGGTGATTTCACAACTGACTCACATTTATGATGGTTGCAGTGCCCTAGGATCATATGATCATCTTTTGTGACCTTCAAACAAGCAAAGTCAATGGGAAAGCCAGATTCACTTAACAGCCATGTTACTAATTTAACAACTGCAGTGATTCACTTAACAAATGTGGCAGGAAAAGCTGTAAAATGGAGTAAAACTCAACAAATTTCTCATTTAGGAGCATAAATTTGGGGCTTACTTGGCTTGTAAGTAATTGGGTCATAACTAAGGATTACCTCTGTCTGCCTCGTGGTTTTATCCCAGATACTGGTACAAACTGGCAGGCAATGAAGTTTGCTAGTTTTTGGTGAAGGGTAATTCAAGGCATAGCAAAGAATTCTCACTCTTCATTCTAGGAATTGTAATGAAAAGTGATAGAGGGACATAGCTAGTAATGTACAATTCCAGATTAAGAAGATGGAACTCTTTTATAGCATGAATAAGAATCCTTAGCTACTGTAGCAATAGCAATAGCAGTAGACTTATATACCGCTTCATAGGCCTTTCAGGCCTCTCTAAGCGGTTTACAGAGAGTCAGCATATTGCCCCCAAAAATCTGGGTCCTCATTTTACCCACCTCGGAAGGATGGAAGGCCGAGTCAACCCTGAGCCGGTGAGATTTGAACCGCTGAACTGCTGATCTAGCAGTAGCCTGCAGTGCTGCATTTAACCACTGCGCCACCTTGGCTCTGTAGAACTTGCAACTGTATGTGTATCAGTCACTGCTGGATAATGACACTCTCCATAAAACTAAAAAGTGCCCATAAATTACAGAAAGAGAAAAAATAACACTATAAGAATCCATTGACATGCCTAAACCAGTGTAGAAATACAAGAATAAAAACGAGGGCAAAAAAGCACAAAGAAACAAAAAGAAATACACTTGAAATGAAGCTCATGAAATATCAGACATTGTTTTCAACAATGAAAGTGACAACAATTTCCATGGCAACATTAATAAGTGATTGAAGTGTGGAATAACATGGAGGAATTGAAGATAAAGTAGTGATATAAACAGTGTTTGATACTTAGAACAGTAATTTATTTACAAAATAAACTAAATCTATTGAAAGGACATTTTTAAAATAGGTATTTGTGCCAGTATTAATTGATGAATAGAGGATAGAACTAAACAGATGTTACCATGTTACATGAATAGGATTCTGTGGATTTACATAATTCTGATACCTTAAAAAATTAAACCAATGAGGAAAAATTATAGAGGAAGTTTGGATGGTAATTCTGGGAACAAGGGAAAGATGAAAAGGGGAAAGTGGGAGAGATACCAGTCTTGCCTTATTTCTGGCATGAAATCCTTTCAGGGCTCCTTGGGTTATTTCTCAGCCAAAACCCAGAATTACACAAAATAGTTGAGTTTTTGAATGAATTATGAGCAGTCTCAAATAATTTATTTATTTATAATAATTCTGGGAGTTGAAGTCCACACATTTTCAAGCTGCCAAGACTGAGAAACACTGATTTAGCAGAATGTCTGGAATGTGAAGTTATGCTTGGCTTTAAAAGAAAATATATTGCTTTGCTCTTAAGGAGCTGATTAGCATCCATCCAGTCCATAAGAAAGCTCTAAAACCTTCTTATTCACTGTTCTCATATTTAGTTTATCCAGTATCCTTTAAAAAAACAAAACAGTCCTGTAATGTTGTCTCACTACTCAGGCTTAACCTCACTAGGGACTGGGAACTGTAGATAGTAGATTGTAGAAGTTTATTTGTATGCCGCCCTTTTCCCCGGGGGGACTCAGGGCGGCTCACAACCCAAAGGGGAGGGGGAAACAAACTTTTAACGTATAAGACAATACATAATTAAAAAACACAACATTCATACCATTCGGGCGGGTTACAGTCTTAGCCCCAGGCCTGACGGGATAGCCAGATTCTGAGGGCTGTGCGGAAGGTCTTGAGGGTGGTGAGGGTACGAATCTCCACGGGGAGATCGTTCCATAGGGTCGGAGCTGCCACCGAGAAGGCTCTCCTCCACGTAGTTGCCAGTCGGCATTGACCGGCAGATGGAACTCGGAGGAGGCCTAATCGATGAGATCTAATAGGTCGCGTGGAGGTAATTGGCAGTAGGCGGTCTCTCAAGTACCCAGATCCACTACCATGTAGGGCTTTATGGGTGACAAGTAGCACCTTAAAGCGCACCCAGAGATCGACAGGTAGCCAGTGCAGCTCGCGGAGGATAGGTGTTATGTGGGTGAAGCGAGGTGCACCCACAATCGCTCGCGCGGCCGCATTCTGGACTAGCTGAAGTCGCCGAATACTCTTCAAGGGCAGCCCCATGTAGAGCACATTGCAGTACTCCAGCCTAGAGGTCACAAGGGCACGAGTGACTGTTGTGAGAGCCTCCCGGTTCAGGTAGGAGCGCAACTGGTGCACCAGGCGAACCTGGGCAAATGCCCCCCTGGTCACAGCTGACAAATGGTGTTCGAAAGTCAGCTGTGGGTCCAGGAGGACTCCCAAGTTGCGGACCCTGTCTGAGGGGTATAGTGTTTGACCCCCCAGCCTGAGAGGTGGAATACTTGCCAAATTGGTGGGAGGGAAACACAACAGCCACTCGGTCTTATCTGGGTTGAGCACGAGTTTGTTAGCCCTCATCCAGTCCCTAACAGCTTCAAGTCCCTGGTTCATCACGTCCACCGCTTCATTGAGTTGGCATGGGGCGGACAGATACAACTGAGTATCGTCCGCATACTGGTGGTATTTTATCCCGTGCTGCCGAATGATCTCGCCCAGCGGTTTCATGTAGATGTTGAAAAGTAGGGGGGACAAGACCGAACCCTGCGGCACCCCACATGTTAGGGGCCTAGGGGTCGATCTCTGCCCTCCAACTAACACCGACTGCGACCTGTCTGAGAGGTAAGAGGAGAACCACTGCAAAACAGTGCCTCCCACCCCCACCTCCCGCAGTTGTTGCAGAAGGATACCATGGTTGATGGTATCGAAAGCCGCTGAGAGGTCAAGGAGAACCAGGATGGAGGCAAAGCCTCCGTCCCTGGCTCTCCAGAGGTCATCGGTCAATGCGACCAAAGCAGTTTCTGTGCTGTAGCCAGGCCTGAAGAGATAATCTAAGGCAAACGTTCCCTCTGTCTGCCTCCAATGTTTAGTATCATTATCTTAACATTCAATTCACAATGATACCTCTTATACTATACCTGAGCCAGAAAATCCCCACCATTTTTATTTTTGAAAACCTATTTCATAAGGGCCGTTCTCTGCAGCTGCTCTTAGTTTCCCCCATGATTCCCTGCGCTCATCTTGGAATAGCCTCTCCTCTCATAATCAACCGCCACATATTTTCAAATAATGGTGTGCCTTCAATAATTTTAGGCGAAGGTTTACACATTTGCTGCCTGAAAGGTCAATTTTCACTCAGCTTGAGAAACAATTTTCACTCAGCTTGAGAAACAATACAATAAGAGGCTGATAAAAATGTAAAGTTAATCAAAGGTGGGCAATTGGTTGCAAAAGGCTCACTCAAGTCCTTGTCTCTGTGGCTGCTACAGATAGATAGACAGACAGACATACATAATGTATATGTATATTATATACATAATGTATATAAAACAATAATAAGCATTATTTATCAAGATATATCACAAGGACATTAAGGAGCTCTCTTGATTCCTAAAACAATTCCATTTCCCCCCAATTGTTTCATTATAGAATACAAATGATACATTGTAGAATAGAAATAAAAATTAAGTACAGTGGAATAGAATGAAAAAAATATAGTAGAATTGTTTAACTACATTAAAAATTGGAACCTGTTAACATTGAGATTATTTCAGTAGTTCTAACTTTTCAGAGTTTTCAGTTTCCAAGATTGGTTACTCGATCAGATACGATATTAGTTGAACTGCATTCAGGAATGATTAGGCTGCTATTCTAATAGACCTACTTCACATAAATTACATTTTATAGGAGAATTGGAACTGCCATGAAATAACCCAGTTACTGTGAGATGGTTAGTATTATTTATCAAGCATTTCTTTCTTTAAAAAAAATGATAAACACTTTTAACATCATTTTAAGATTGATACATATCTACCTCATTTAATAGCAAGGAAATCTCTCCAGTGTTATGTAAAATTTAATTAAGCTCAGCAGGCTTTTCCTGAAAGTTTTTATCAAAACTTGGAGGATTAGGATTCTGAACTTGATACAGCTCTTTGTATCTTACTACTCTTTGAAGGATAAAATTCCTTTTAAAATCTAGTTTATATAAGGATCAGATAAATATCAATAGGAGGCACTATACTAAATTTATATAAACTGTTAATAGTGTTGGTAGGATAATCACAAATTGACACATATTATCATTTTTGGTGATAATGCCCAATTAGTTTTTTATTACAAAGTTTTTGAAGAAATTCACCCCACAATCTTTCATAATGAATCCTGCTTTTAATTATCCATATTTCCTAAAGCAAAGAAATTGATGCAGCATAAGTAATAGATTCAATTTCTGTCGTTAGCTGCCAAATTTAGTATTGCAATATGTTAGAAAACTAAAACACAATTACAGCAACGGTACTTAAAAATATCTCTCTGACTGAAAATTAACACAACAATAAAGAGCTTTGAAAACCCCCACAATAAATTATGATTCTCTAACTCTTACTGCTATTTAGTAGCTATATATTGGCAGTAGTTTTTCTAATAATGTAATCTATATCAATGTTGCTGTGGTTACCAATATTGAATTTGAGATATTTAAAATCTGTTTCTTCTTTGAATATCACATGCATCAAATGAAATGTTTACTATAGTGATAGATCATCATGAATATCATCACCAATTGTTTAGTTCATTATTGTTATTTTTTGTTTAGTTTTTGCCTTTTGCTCCGTGAAAGAAAAAATGGAATTTGCATGAAATACTTCAATTGTGTGAAATAAATATGTGTTAATTATGTATCATGAAATGGAAACAGCTTAGCTATCAGGGAACAAATTGAATAATAAAGCCAACCCTATAGCAATTGGTCAAACATTATAGAATGATAGAATTGTAAAGAGCGATTAAATGAACCCTTTGCTCAGAGCAAAAACACATCCTAGACAGATGGCCGTATAGCAGGGTGTCAAACTCACATCATCACAGTGGCTTCACGTGATATATTGGTACTTTTGTCCCCTTTTCTAAACTGGGCATGGGTGTGACAAGTGCATGACACATCCGGCCCGTGGGGAAGGAGCTTGACAGTCCTGCCGTCAAACTCCTCTTTGCCTGAACATCAGTGAAGGAGAACTCATCATTTCTTGAACTAATTTGTTCCACAGTAAAACTGCTCCTTTTTGGGGGGGTGGAGACATTCATTTGGAATCCTCTTTCTTGTAACTTAAATCCATCTTGTGCGCTCTAGAATGATAGAAACAAAAAAATGTGATAGTCTTTCTGTCATTCCTTCTCAAAGCTAAATGTGCCAAATTCCTTCTGTCAGGTTCAGGGATCATCAATAGCATTCCCTTATGCTGTAAGATATTCTGTGGCTTAGCCTCAGAGCAAAACAACTTACTTCCCATGAGAAACTTACTCTGGGGTCTGATGGACTGGTTTGATAATTGGTTTCGGCATGGGGTTAGTCAAAGCCCTTATTAAAGAACGTTTAGTGTAGGAAATATATTTTCAGGGATATATTTGAATCGGATTAATATATTAACTGAATCACAAATTGGTTTATTGCCAGCTTTGAAAGAAATGGAGGAGGCCTAAAAAACCCTGTGCAATTGCTTTTAAGAAATGTGTGCAAATTAAAATATGTATGAAAATGGGCACCATAGTCAGGTATTCCATGAGGTATAGCCAGCACAAAATATTTGATTAGATCACATACCTAGTTAGCTCAATGCAGCTGTTGAGGTGCAACTATAAGGTAATGGGGCAGGACTACAAAGACAATGGGGTTTTGAGAGAACTAAAGGCAGGATTCTGTGGTCCCCCCCCCCGCCCCAAAGGGAGTTAATTTATTTTGCTTTGCCAGAGTTCTGTGGCCTCCCAGCTTTTCAGCATTTCTTGGCCTTTTCTATGTTTTATGGCTTAGCTGACTATTTTAGTTTCCCTGGGAACATATATTAAAGTGGCAATTTGTAGCTTAACTGCCTCAAATCTCCATCAGGAAACAGTTTGAGAATTTTTACTTCATCAGAGATAATTTAACAGAAAGTTATGAAAAATATTTCAAACAATTAAAATATTGAGATAATGCACAGAATCACTATAAAACTTGGATACCATGTACTAGTAGATAAATCCTAAGGCAGAATTACCTTGACAAAAGGTGGTTGGCCTATTAATTTAATAAACAAACAAACAATAAAAATAAGACTGCTTTAAACTTAATCCAGCAAAAATTCATAAAAAACTTACTCAGATGAAAATAGACATGGAATTCTAAGAAAAACATCTGCTTTTTTTTGCACGTGCCTTTCTTTCTTTCTGCATCCCATTCTTTCCCCTTGTTTTCTAGTAATGTTTTTTTTTTCTGAATTTGAGTGACATATATCATTAGGAAGATATAATACAGATTATTTATGTTCTGTGGAATATTGTGGTACACATGGTTACTCTTCTACTTTTTACTGTACTGATTTAATGAAGCAGAATAAAAATTGGCACTATTATGATTATCCAGGGACTCTTTCTGTTGAAAATATAAACTTGTCTTAAGAGCCATAGTGGCACAGTGGTTAGAGTGCAGTACTGCAGGCTCTGCTGACTGCCAGCTTCCTGCAATTTGATATCACCAGGCTCAAGGTTGACTCAGCCTTCCATCCTTTCTAGGTGGGTAAAATGAGGACCCAAAATTGTTGGGGGCAATATGCTGACTAAGTGCTATTGCCATTACAAATTTACGGTAGAAATGAAATAAGTAAAATTGAACTATCCAGATTTTTTAAGATGGTGCTTAAAACTTCCTTATTTTGCTAAGGACAAATTTAGATGAGGTTAATTTTTCAATCTTTATTTATATTCAGAAGTAAGCCCCATTCAAGATAAATCAAAATAGGTCTGCAAAAAAAAATTGAGAGCTGTTTTGGTTATTCCACATAATCTTTATGTTTTTTGATGCACTGAATCCAAAAATGATCTCCATTTTGTCATAGGACATCANTCCTCCAGCACATAATGATTCCCTTCCCAAATACCATGCCCCCCCTCCCCGTTTCAATGGCAGCTGAAGCAGCAGCAAAGCAGAGGCTGACAGATAACCAAAAAGAACGTTTGGGTTCTTCTACTAATTCTATGTGGGATAGATGAATCCCAGCCATTCTAATTTACAACAGCAAACTACTATATTCTTCCTCTAGCACCTGCATGAGGTCAGGCTTCTGTAGGATCAAGTGTGGCTGGTAACTCTGGTGGGAAAGGCAGCTCAGGTTTTTGGGTACTAAAGATGTGTAGTCTCAAAGTAGCATCACCATACATCTTGTTTTCTGCTGGCTAAAGTGAAGACAGAAATTATAAGGCTTGACTAAGACACAGAGCATTTCCATAGAGTAGAATGAAAACTAAATCAACTGATTCTAACATATAGGACATTGCTTCTATGGCTTGTAAAACATATTTAAAATGTTTTAATGTCTTTTAAAATGGTTTTATGTTTAAAACACTACTGAAATCGGCTAATTAAGAATGTGGAAGTAATAATAGGATTTGGGGCCATCTCTGGATTTTTACAGTTGATTGCCATATTGTCTACATCTTTGCTCAATCTACTGTTTACTGACTAAATCATACTAGGCTTTTGTAATACACAAAGTTGTAAATCATGCTGATAAACAATGGCTTGGTTTAGCACTAGCAATAGCCTTAGACTTATATACCGCTTCACAGTGCTTTGCAGCCCTCTTTAAGCGGTTTACAGTCAACATATTGCCCCCAACAATCTGGGTTCTCATTTTACTGACCTCAGAAGGATGGAAGGATGGGTCAACCTTGAGCTGGTCAAGATCAAACTGTTGGCAGTTGGCAGAATTAGCCTGCAATAGTGAAATACTACATTCTAACCATTGTGCCACCATGGCTCTTAATTTAGTTAATAAGCTAAAAGCAAACCAAGTTGTTGCATTGCACAATGTGAATATTGCATTTTTTAACACTTGGGGGGGAGGGAACTATCTTAACTTTAATGTTTTTACTATTTCCTAAACTAAACCTTGGCATGCTACATTAGAGGGACTTACCACAGTGGGCAAAACTGTTATAGGTGGCACAGGACATTGATACAGAGATAATGTATGAGTGCCAATATTCCACGTAGTCATTCTGGATTCCTCTTCCTTCTTTGCACCTATAAAGGCAGAGTGCTAATAATTGTATTGTTATGACAATACAATAATTGTATTGTTCCTAAAGAGAATCATAGCTTCAAGATATCTAAAAAACCAACCACATACCTGCAAACATCACTTCACAGGATTCAAATCGCTTGCTTAGTCTGAACACAGCCCAGGCAGCTAACCATTGTTCACTCCCTAATGATGGATAATGGGAAGTGAGTTTGTTGTCCCTGAATGTGGATGCTTCCCTTCCTTTGGGGCAGTGATAAAAGCGAGCAACAAGGATCATATCTTCTTGTGGCATAACATTCCAAAATACTACCTGAGAGGAGATCAAAAGAAATCTACAATGTCCAGTAGAAAAATGTATGGCTCTAATGTATCTGCCATTATCCACCCTTTCCTTCTATCATTTATAGGTATTTGTTACCACAAAATCTATATAGGTAGTCCTTGACTTACGACCACAATTGAGCCCAAAATTCATGTTGCTATGTGAGACATTTATTAAGTGAGTTTTACCCCATTTTACACCTTTTCTCACCTCAGTGGTTAAAACAACTGGAGTGCTTCAAAACAATTTGGTTTATGATTGCCTTCACTGCTGCAGACCTAGAAGCACTCAGTGTTCTCTCCAACAATAAATATCCTTCTACTAATATATGGGCTGCTGGGGATTCGCAGGGGTTTGGGAGAACCTGTAGCTAAGATTCTGTGCAGTTTGGAGAAACCCCAATCCCACTCCTGGCTGGCTCTGCCCACCCCACCCCTCCCAGGAGTCCCCATGTGGCCCGTTTTGGATTCAGGTAAGTGCAGGGTGCACATGGAGGCTCGAGGAGGGCAAAAAAACGGGCCTACCAGAAGTTTGGGAAGGCTGGAAATGGGACCGGAGCCTGGGATGGCAGTTTTGGCCCTCCCGGAGCCTCGAGGAAAACCTTTGGAGCCCAGGAAGTGCAACTCCCCTACCATGTTGCTGGAGGCCAACTAGGCCATGCCCACCATGGCCATGCCCACCCAGCAACCGGGCAGAGAAACCCTTACTAAAATTTTTGAAGCCCACTCCTGTTAATATTCCTTCCCTTTCCACATAAAATACAATAGCAGAGTTGGAAGGGACCTTGGATGTCTTCTAGAAACCCCTGAGATATTGGAACACTGCTATCATGTCTCCCCTAGTCCTTCTTTTCATTAAACTAGACATACCCAGTTCCTGCAACCGTTCTTCATATGTTTTGGCCTCCAGTCCCCTAATCATCTTTGTTGCTCTTCTCTGCACTCTTTCTAGAGTCTCCACATCTTTTCTACATCGTGGTGACCAAAACAATGCAGTATTCCAAGTGTGGCCTTACCAAGGCCTTATAAAGTGGTATTAACACTTCATGTGATCTTGATTCTATCCCTCTGTCTATGTAGCTTAGAACTGTGTTGGTTTTTTTGGCAGCTGCTGCACACTGCTGGCTCATATTTAAATGGTTGTCCACTAGGATTCCAAGATCCCTCTCACACTTACTACTATTGAGCAAGGAACCACCTCTATACTGTGCCTGTGCATTTTGTTCTACTCTCAGGTGCCTTGGACAATAGTTTGACTCCCTCTTCTTTGTGACAACCCCATTATGCACATATTGTGCATAATGATGACTTGCAAATAAATCCAAGCAGTTGCTATGAGAGAGCTCTACAACCATTGACACGCCTGTAAAGGAATCTCTTAACACGATGGGGAATGGAGATCTGAAAACTGAGGCAGAATTGGAAATTCCCACCAATGGGAAAATGCCCACCAACAAGCTCTGTGAAGCTTCAACATTGCAGACTAAGAAGAAATGCCTTTAGCAACACTAGAGAATTAACTGGGGTAATTGTTAAACATAGGAGGTTGTGTAAGTTTGCTGTAATGGTTTGGTGTAATAGTTAAAGTGCAGGCCTAGAAATTGGGAGATTGTGAGTTCCAGTCCTGCATTAGGCATGAAAGCCAGCTGAGTAACTTTGGGCCAGTCACTCACTCTTATCCCAATTCATCTCACAGGAGTGTGGGAAATCGGAAAAGAAAGGAACATTATTTATGTTCACTACCTTGAGTTACTTATAAAGTAATAAAGGTACAAAACTGATTCTGGAGTAGTGTAAAACTTTCCTGTAGAAATATAATTCTTACAATCTGAACCTTCTGCATACCTGTTCCTCTCCAAATATGAAATAATTGTGTTTGATGTCTGATCTGATGAAATTAGTGCAATAATTAAATCCTGAATTACTGGTGCAAATCACCTGAAAGGGTTAAGAAAAATACAGTCGATCTCCTTGCTTAAATCATTTCATACATTTCTTACATTTGAGTCAAATCCTTGGATGAGTCTATTGCATTAAAACTTAATAACATGAATTATAGACTACAAAACACAAGGGATGCTATAGCCCAAATATACATAATGGACTTTGGATAATCAATCTAGCTGTTCTGAAATTAGGTTTAGGTAGTTTATTTATATGCCGCCCTTTTCCCTGGGGGGACTCAGGGCGGCTCACAGTTCGGAAGGAAGGGAGGACAAACAGATTAAACACATAAGACAGTACATTATTAAAAGCACAACATTCATACAATTCGGGTGGGTTGCGGTCTTTAGCCCCAGGCCTGTCGGGACAGCCAGGTTTTAAGGGCTATGCGGAAGGTCTGGAGGGTGGTGAGGGTACGAATCTCCACGGGGAGATCGTTCCATAGGGTCGGAGCTGCCACCGAGAAGGCTCTCCTCTGCGTGGTTGCCAGTCGACATTGACCGGCTGATGGAACTCGGAGGAGGCCTAATCTATGGGATCTAATTGGTCGAGTGGAGGTAATTGGCAGTAGGCGGTCTCTCAAGTACCCAGATCCACTACCATGAAGGGCTTTGTAGGTGACAAGTAGCACCTTGAAGCGTACCCGGAGATCGACAGGTAACCAGTGCAGCTCGCGGAGGATAGGTGTTATGTGGGTGAAATGAGGTGCACCCACGATCGCTCGTGCGGCCTCATTCTGGACTAGCTGAAGTCGCCGAATACTCTTCAAGGGCAGCCCCATGTAGAGCACATTGCAGTACTCCAGCCTAGAGGTCACAAGGACACGAGTGACTGTTGTGAGAGCCTCCCGGTTCAGGTAGGGGCGCAACTGGTGCACCAGGCGAACCTGGGCAAATGCCCCCCTGGTCACAGCTGACAAATGGTGTTCAAAAGTCAGCTGTGGGTCCAGGAGGACTCCCAAGTTGCAGACCCTGTCTGAGGGGCGTAGTATTTGACCCCCCAGCCTGAGAGATGGAACACTTGCCAAATTAGTGGGAGGGAAGCACAACAGCCACTCGGTCTTATCTGGATTGAGCACAAACTTGTTAACCCTCATCCAGTCTCTAACAGCCTCAAGGCCCTAGTTCATCACGTCCACCACTTCATTGAGTTGGCACGGGGTGGACAGATACAACTGTGTATCGTCCGCATACTGGTGGTATTTTATCCCGTGCCGCCGAATGATCTCGCCCAGCGGTTTCCCTGGCTCTCCAGAGGTCATCGGTCAATGCGACCAAAGCGGTTTCTGTGCTGTAGCCAGGCCTGAAGCCAGACTGGAATGGGTCAAGATAACTAGCTTCCTCCAAGGACCGCTGGAGCTGAAAGGCCACCACCTTCTCAACAACCTTCCCCACAAAGGGGAGGTTGGAGACTGGACGATAGTTGTTTAGAACGGCTGGATCCAAAGATGGTTTCTTCAGGAGGGGTCTCACCAGCCTCGTGTCACCTCCCTGCTGTTAACAACCAGCCAGGAGGGGCACGGGTCCAGTACACATGTGGAGGCACTTACAGCTCTCATGGCCTTGTCCACGTCCTCAGGGGCAACAGCCTGAAACTCAACCCAGCGATGGCCTACCAGATTATCCCTTACATATAGACTACAATAATTTGTAGCCCTTGTTGTTTCTGGCTAGGTGTCAGGCACTGCACAAGCTGCCGTTGACAATATATTCTAATGGGTGCCAATGTAAGAAACTACCTTGTGTCCAATTGTCTCCTCTATTCAGTACAATATGCCTGGCAATAGATCTCAGGATTTTAGACAGATCTTTTTCAGTTCATAAAGATACCAAGGAGTGTGCCCTTTGAATACATGAAATATGCCTTTTTCCCATAGAAAAATTAGGATGTAGGAGTATTTGAGCCAAATTTCCTAGGTATGCCTAAGCGCAACGAGAATTCAAACATGCCTAAACTATACATAAAAGAATAAATTTGACCCTAAAAGAAATACCGTAAAAACAATATTCACAATCACAATGGCTACCTAAATTAACTATTCCTTTACACCTAGACATAAAATACAGATGTATGAACTTATATTTAACCTACAAGCTCTTGCATTTTGAAACTGAATATTATGCCACATTAAAATTCATTTTTTAAGAACACATTTAAAATGTGGTTGGCAGTGTGTTGAGTGAACTTGGGCATTTAGGCTAATTCAGTAAGCCACAGTTCAATAAACTAAGGGCTAATCAGTTCCAATGATAAAGTCACAGACTGACTACCTACCTCACCAGTTTTCTGATGGTAACCTGTTAGTCGGATGGCCCCATTGCCTGGTGGGGCACCTTTCACTTTATCAAGAATGATTCCCAGTCGTGCTTCTTTTGGCTGCCTGCAATTTCCCTGCTCGGCATTTGGACTTGGGGGTATTTTTTTACCTCTGTTGGAATTATTAGATGCTGATTAGCTCAGATATTCTTCTTCCACAGCTCATGAAATAACATGTACCATCTTTATCATGCCCCAGGGGAAAATAGATTTCCACCAAAAAAAACCTAAGAAAAAAAATATTCCTACATACAGAGAGAAAAGATAATCAATCTGAAAACCAAATCACACTGAATTTTTACCTGGAATAGGCTGGAGAAGCCTCTGATCTGTTTCTAGGTGCTGCCAATGCCACAGCCAGGAAAATAGTGTAATGGAAGAAGGGGGACAAGGAAGGAGGGCTTTGTGTGTGCTGAATGTCAAGAGAGCGCATCATTAAAGTCTAGAAGATTCTTTAAGAAACCCAGTTTACATACCCATTTGGATGTTAGAGAGCAGAGAGGAAAGTGGAAGGTAATTCATGATGTGGGTGAATAGAGAGCTACAATGTGAGAAATGGGAAAGGACATGAGAAGAAAAAACAAGTAATTAATCAATTAATCACTGCATTTATTTGGAAAACTATTGGGCATAGCAAAACAAACCCCAAAGCAATAATAAAGAGTAAATCGCAAAGAACAAACAAGCTAAACTCAGAGTAATCTAAAACGAGCTAACATTAGAAACTTCTATTTAAATTATCAGCTATATATTTTTTGTTTGTATGTCACTGGTGTTTTTTTCAGTCGGACAATTTATAGCACTGGTCACTGATCATAACCATAGCTATGGATATTAAATGGCAAGTTTTCCAATAACAATTGTTTGATAAGGAGATTATTTATTTACATTTGTTTGTAAGATGCCCAGAGTTGCCTTTATACGAGACGGTTAGCAGATAAGTCAAATAAATAAATAAATTTCCACTAGTACATTAGAGAGACGTTTTTAAAAAAAATAATACATTTTGCTTAACAATTTAAAATATTTTATACAGCAATTATCTCTTCAAAAAGCAGGGCTAATTACAGCCTATTTTTCTGAGCTTCGCATAATTTGATGGGATTTAGTGCTTGATAGTTAGATATAAAAAGTGAGGTGAAGGATCTTAACAATGTAGTTTGTTAGCACAGTACTGAATTGAAAGGTGCTTGTAATATGTGTAGCACCCAATTTGCATCATCACCTTGTCTTCTCCATCACATCTCTATTTAAATCCTCCATCAAGTTATACATGCCTCTGGGGCACATAGAGGCTGATGCCCTTTTGTTAATCTGAAAAAAAAAATACTGATGCCCTTTTGTTAATCTGAAAAAAATACTACCAGACTGCCTGATTTTTAGCTCAAAGAAATGGGCGTGCCATTAAGATTTGAAATGTCAATAATGCTTATTTACTTTTGGTGTGTACTGACTAGTTGCCAAACTGCTGAATACAAAGTGAAATATATGTCTTACTAGAAATAATTTTTAAAATTTATATATAACCAGCTTTTTAAATAAACCATAGACGGGTCAGGGAGCTATGTTTCTATACTGATTTGTTTTAAAGTTGAAAGGAAAGACAATTTTGGAGGGAGAAAAGGGTTAATCCTCCTTTTTCACCTTTCATTAGATTTAAGCTGGACAGACTGTTCCTGATTAGGAGGAGGGTCAACTAAACCAGTGTAAGGAGAAGCAGAAAAGGACAGGCTGGTGGGAGCAGGATGGAAAGAATGCTGGGTTGGAGAGAAATCAATGGGAGGCACTGTGGAACTGGACGCCTGTGTAGGAGAGAAGAGAGCACAAGAAGGTTATTATTGTAAACAGCAGGTCTACTGGAGAGCACACTGCAAATATTCTGGAGCTGGTCTCCTTCTCTCAAAGTACTCTGTTATCTTTGCCGCAACAGACCAATGCTCCGTAACTCTGAAGATTGCAACTCTGCTCAAGAGCTTACAACTTTATTGTTTCAAATATATATGTGGAGTTGCTAGTTTTTTTTTCAAGCTTACTACCTTAAGTTTGTTAGTGTTTCTTCCCTTGAAAAGTGATAAAAAATAATACAGTGGAAAGGTTATTTTTATAGTAGGTGCTTCCTAGATATCCTCATTGCTGAATACAGCCATGGTCCAACAGAATGATATTTTGAGTTTTCTCATTCCATACTAACAACTACCAAGTTTGTTGTCTCAGCACATGCTTTTTATATTTTCCAAGCAAATGTTCAGTCATGCTTGTTATTGCCTTTTTGGCAAACGGGGAAGGGCTCACTTTCTAAAGAATCTTTCAGTCTTTTCCTAGCACAGAAATTTGCAGTACCAGTTAGGAGGTTTGGAAGATTTGATTGGGTCCTCTGCATTCTCCAAAATGGCAGTTCTTGACCCAGTTCTTAGGATTGTGTGATGCTAGATCCAGTAGAAAGAAAGCATGACTGGGATAGTTGCTAACTAAGTTAAAAATATTGGGTCAATCTGACTCTCTTGGCACTTTGGATTGACAGCATCCATTGTCTGGAAAGCACCCTCCTATCTGTCCTATGAATTTGGATATGCATATGAATTTTTTTCTCAGAGAAGTTCTGCTTTCAAGCTGGATCCCTAGGATTTAGATTCACATCCACACATGCTTAAAATGCCAAAACAAAAATGGGTTACAGTTACAGCATCAGGAGCATACTTGAGCATGCATAAATATTTAGAAGGAAGATAATAAATTTAATGCAACAGAAATTAACTGTTCCAACTGTTCCTATTTGGTTTATATATTTTGTGACATGATAACATTGATAATTATAGGGTCCAACTCACTGTAGGAGGATATTTATATAAGGAAGCTCTGCCAGGCTGGATATCAGCCATTGATTGCATATCAGCATCTCTTGCATTCACCAGCCGCAAATAAAGCTCAGCTTTGCCAACCTGAGAAGTTAAAGGAAATGTTATATGATTAGAACAGAAAGATGAATGCAAACACGATGAGTTGAGCATATATAAATCGATATATTGTCAAAGATTAGTTATTTTTAGAATGAATAATCAATTTCAGAATCAGTGGTAGAATTGATGAGATCTGGCAGAGAATCTGTATAAAATCACAAGCACACTAAACATTAAGAGGCTGGCTATGAAGAACTACTGGAATACCTTTTTATAAACAATAATTGTTTGGGTAGGAAAGCTGTTGCTCTGCTCTGCTCTATTCCTTCTTACCTGAGGCACACCATTCAACTGTTCTTCAGTAAGACCTGGCTTTACAGGAAGCACGCGTATAGGAACTTTCCAATGCCCACTCATCACTTGGTGCAGGTGGTCAAAAATGTTGATTTTAGCCCATCCTCTGGGGGACAAATTCTGGATTTCCTGCCCATAAACATCAAAACCTCCAGAGGCCTGAAGCTCAGCTACAAGGCTGATGGAGGTTGAAGGTAGGATTCTGAAAAACACAGGAAATCCACAGCAATATGGCAACTTTTGATGAAGGATCTGATGTACAATGTGCTATAGCATAGAAACCATGACTTTTAAGAAAATACACAGTTAGTGTAAAGTTACCTCCTAAATAGGAAGAAGAAGAAACTAGCAAACCTGAAACTGGATGAAGAAAAGCAATTTTGTGCAAATTTAGGCTACATATTGTTCCCAGTACAAACGCACCAAGGTTTTCAAAAGGTCTTAGAATAAATCTGACATGTGAAAATAATGCCTTGCAAAGGGCCGTCTCAAAGCATCCCTTCTTTCCTTCGTATTGGGCGAATGGCTCAGTTGCCTAGCAGTGTTTTGCCTGAAAGCCCGGACATTACCACAAGGTATACTAAACAATCCATGGTACCTCATGAATATAGCCACGGAACAGAAATGACAGTAGTTGGAACTCAGTTGGAGGTATAGAAATATTAAATAGCAATACTATATTATTCAATAGTTTACTTTGACAGCCTTTAACCGTACTTTGTACTGCTACTAAGACTCAAAGGTGCTTTTTTTCAAGAGGCAACTGGACTTTCTTGTTTTTCTTTGAAGACATTTAGTTATTCATCCAAGAAGCTTCTTCAGCTCTGACTAGATGGTGGGGAATGGAAGGATTTATATTATTTGCAGAGACTGTGTCATCTGCAAGGAATATAAATCCTTCCACTCCCTACCATCCAGTCAGAGCTTGGATGAGAAGTGAAATGTCTTCAAAGAAAAACAAGAAAGTCCAGTTTGCTCCTGGAAAAAAAAATCTTTGGGACAACCATAACTTGGATGACTGAGAATCTCTATAGACATACTGCTACCGTGTTTCCCCAAAAACAAGACAGGGTCTTATTTTCTTTTGACCCCCGAAATAAACACTTGGCCTTATTTTCGGGAAGGTCTTATTATTTTTGAGGTGCAGAAGGCAGCGAGTATGGTCACCTCATGGCTGCTGCTGTGTTGCAATATTTTTGGGAAGGGCTTATTTTTAGGGGAGGGCTTATTTTAGTGCATGCGCTCAAAAGCCTGACTGGGCTTATTATCCTGGGAGGTCTTATTTTCAAGGAGACAGGGTATTAAGTATATATTTTTCTAGAATTTAGAAACAATGTATACAGTTACAACACCATAGTAGAACTGTCAACTGAATGGCTTCCCACACAAAGACTTCCTGGTTAGGAAAGGTGTGACATGATGGAAATAGCCTGGAAGTTCACTGTTAGGAATATAATCTAACGGTTGGGTTGGCAATATACACATCATATAGCAATGCTATACCAGCTTCTTTAAATCATACTGTAAAATGTGATTGGTTGCTGTTTTCCTCAATCGGCCATAAGAGGGAGCCAGAATGACTGTTAGCTCTCTGTTTTGTTAGATGCTAGGCTGATCTGATCTGAGTGTTTTGGAAGCTGGCTGTTAGAAAGTTAGAAAGAGCTATTGTAAGTTTTGCAACTGCTAGCAAACTTTGAATACTGAACTGATTATATGATACTGTTATATGTTATATATTATTTGGATTATCCCTTAACTGAAAGACATTGATGACTGACTGTCTTATCCGTGTATGACTTGGACTGTTTGAGGGCCTCTGATACCTCTATTTCCACGAAAGTAAAAGCCTATTTAAACTGCAGTGTCTCTGTATGCTGGTTTGCATGTTTCCAACACAACTCTCACAATGCTTCTCTGAACGCACTCGCTCTCCCCACAGGGAGCTTACCTAACACTCACCTTGGGACTGGCTGTCTAGCTGCTAAGATGGCACAGCATGCTCTTTGCCTGTCCATCAGAGACTGTGGAGAGTGGCCCATATCAGAGGAGACAATAGGAAGAGGTGTGGACTTCCCTAGTTGCTGGCAATTACGATATAAACCAGAGACCAGGCGAACATGGTAGAACATAGGATCCAACCCCAAAAGAAAATCATAGAATACTACAAAACCAGATCTGCAGAGAGAGAATAGAGTTAGTTAAATTCATAATATTCCATGTTGCTACTTTTTCTGAAGAGCTGGATGAGAATCGTCATACCCAAACATCTTGATCAAAATCATTATTATGTTTGGATGGAGAAAGAATAGAAGGATAAATATATTTACTTTATATTAAAGTAGTGGCCACTTGATTTTTTTCAAACAAATATTTTATGCAGCAGTGAATTCTAACTGCAACTTATTTAGAAAGGACTGTCTGTCTGTACATGTGCATGAAGGCCTCTAAGGAATGGATATTATAGGTCACAGTTTTACATACACTGGATCATATGGAGCTGGTCCTAGTGTGTCAGAGGGATCCAGAAAGTACTGGTTTATTCCTGTAGCAGATGATCTCATGGGGTCCTATAACAAAGAGGAGATTTATGAATTTTATCAGCAGAATCCAACTAATTATTTAACAGCATAACCTAAACAATCATATCTACCAAGGCCATCTTCCAACATGTTGTTGTCTGGAAAGATTGAGACAAATTGTGGTGGTAAAACATACCCCTCCATGCACTTGTGTTCACCACCAGACCCCTGCGATGCTCACTCCATGCAGGTGAACTGTTTAAAGTGCCCTTGTAAAAAAAAGCATTAATAGTAAGTCCTTTGATTGCCCATATTTATTGCCCCCCACATGCGTGCACACACACACAACCTACAGTGCAACCTACAATCTTGATAATACCTGTTTGGAAGAATGCTTGGCAGTAAAAATATGGTGTGAAATGATAATTACACTTTAAAATGGAATTTATATGCAGAAATATTGCTATCTTCATACCTGAGTAGCTCAACTGTTTTCCTGGAAAGACTAAGGATCAATTGAATACTTTTCCCCACAAGGAGACTGAAGTTGAGAGAATATTTGTGATTACTATTGACTGGATTATTATTTTTGCACTTTGCTGTAACTTGGCAGGAAAGAACAGTGACTGGCTCCTAGAGGTTCATGCCGATTCTCAATGCTCAGAAGTTAACAGGATTTCAGACAATTAGATGGTTTCATTTAAGATGCTTGGCAACGATTGGAAAGGGGGAACCGTGCCACGTGGAAGAGTTCTTAAATGCAAGTTCTGACACATTGAAATTTGGCACCATAATACTTTTTAAGATGATCATATAAATGCAAAAAATGTCTTACTATATTCTTTTTCCTCTTTCAGTAGCTAGTAAGTGTATTTTTCAATTTAACATTGAACACATTTTATGGCATGCTATCACTTGAATCAAAAATATCTGTAAATATAGATCTGTAATTGTGAATAGTTATGGTCACTGATTTTTCAACTCAACGACCAATGGTCAGCAGCTACTAGAGCAAATTTGTTGGAAAGAGAAACTGCAAAATTTACTTGTATATTCCTTGAGGCAAAGTATTAGAATAAGAGAAGGAAGGAAGGAAAATATGGACAAAACTGCACTACAGCCACCCATTGTATAGATTGTGTGTCTTGCACATTTTTGCAGAACATGGTTTCCTTACTACACACTGAGGGTTGTGATCACAAATATGAAAGAATATGAAATTATTGTCATAAAAGCTAGAGGTCAAAATTTGAATTTCATCCAAAAGCTACATTCACGATCCATCCAATGGACATCAGCTGGGTTTGGAGAAAAACAAATCCCATCCTTGAGAAAACTCTACCTACTTTCTCTGTGCTTTCAGGAGAGCAATGTTTTCTTGTCCTTTTTTGTTAGAAAATACGTACTATAAACAAAAGCATAGCAGATCCTGCAGATCAAAGACTTCTATATATCTGTAAAACCTCTCTCAAATTTGCCCAAGCCAAAGGGCACTCACCATAGTTCTAGCCAGAATGGTGGGATCAGGAAGTCCAAGGTGAGGAGGAGGAGGTGGCAGAGGTGGTGCTATAGGAGGTGGAAGAAGGGGTGGCGATCGTCTTCTAGGCCACTGAACTTTCCTCCTTTCAATATTGTGTCTCAGCCTACCAATCTCAGCATGTAGCTGAGCCATTTCTGCCATATGTACTTGTTGCAAGTTGTCCAGCTCTAAGTCCAAAGAACCTAATGAAAACGAAAAGGCTCATTAATGTAGCATTGTATGCTATGAGAGCACTTCCAAATGCCAAAAGAATGTGGAGATGGCTGGTCTAATTAAGCATAGGAAATGAATAGATTAACCAGCAGAAAATAACTATGTCTATTCTTTTGGTGTTATAGCTTTTCATCAGTTAGTTCATGGCCCTATTCCATTTTTTCTGGATTGGCATCACTCAACATTTATCTACACCTTCAACAGGACATAGTTTTCCTCAATCTATAGGGAATACCAAATTTAACACCCCCCAAAAATTCTTGCTGTGCAGATTCATTGGGGTAGCGTGTTTCTGGGAGTGACTGAGAATACCCAGAGTGAATGCCAAGACTATATAACAATAGCACTTAGATTTATATACCGCTTTAAGTGCTCTGCAGCCCTCTCTAAGTGGTTTACAGAATCAGCTTATTGCCCCCAACAATCTGGGTCCTCGTTTTACCCACCTCGGAAGGATGGAAGGCTGAGCCAATATAATTGCAGCAGACTCTTCTTACCCCAAGCAAAAAGGTCATGCTGTGGCAGGACATTGAGTGAGATTTGGACATAAGAGTGAGATGATATGGGGTTGGACTAGAGGACCTCCAGGGTCCCTTCCACCTTGCTATTGTAAAGTAAAAGACATTTTCTAGTCTTGTAGAAGAACAGGAAGCTTAAAATGTCAAACCACAATTTCAGCTACAGTTCTGGCTCACAAGCCAAGTGTAGAGCTAAACCACGTAAGTCAATATGAAACTAGCACTTCCTGCAAGATACCTGCGAACAATGGTGGGTTTCAAAATTTTTTAGAACCTATTCTGTAGGTGTGGCCTGTTTTATGGGAGTGGCTCGGTGGTCATGTGACTGAGGTGGGAGTGACTTGGCAGTCATGTGACCAGGTGGGCATGGCTTGGCAGTCATGTGACCAGGTGGGTGTAACTAGGTAGGTAAGGTCATGTGATTGGGTGGGCATGGCCAACTCGATGTCACTCACATGGAGGGGCACCTGGCCTGGCTTCTCCTTGCCCCTCCCCTCCCTGCCAGTCCTTGCCTCGTCTTGCATGTTATGGTGGGAGATGAAGCATTTTCAAAGTCATCTTCCCCTTGATACTAGCCAATAAGATGAGATTCTACTGTCAGAAGATGGCCTGCTGTACATTTCCAAATATTGGTTATCACCATTCTCTTGGTAAGACTGAGTGGAGAGATTTATAAAAAATAACAGAATTGGAAGGGACCTTGCAGATTTTCTAGTCCAACCCTTGCGAAAGCATGAGATGAGACCCTATACTATTATGGACAAATTTCTTCTTAAAAACCTCCAGTGATGGTATACCTACAATTTCTGAAGGCATCCCATTTCTCTAACTGTTCTGTCAATAAATTTCTCATTTCTAGGTTGGATCTGTTTGATAGGTTTCCATCTCACAGATCCGTCTCATTGTTACTTCCAGTTGAGCCAGGCACCACCTATTCTATACATTTTTTTTTGCCTGTGTGAAATCTTACTTTACTCTCCATTAAATTGCATTTTTGGTGAGAAATGATGTTCTACCATGGTATTCAGTTTACTACAATGATTTTTGCAAACCACATTAAAGGTTGAAGAATACACCTCTACTTATACTGATAAAGATTATTATTTTTCAACATTAAATCATACAGTAAATCAAATACTTCCAATCCTATAATTGAAAACACATTAGAAAGGCCTCTAATGGATGTTTTACTATTCTTTCTTTTCTCCTTTAATTAAATCTTTCTTTATTTTTTTTCTTGGGCCTTATTGCAATATTTCAAAATTCTCACAGATCCTTCAAACCAATTCTAATTTAACTGGAATACAAAACAATCTCACACACACACCCCTCAGCTCCTCAACACTTCTCAGTGTTATGTACAGAAATATGCTTCTCTTTTATTGCTCATTTTCAAATTAACAGGCCAGCTGGTTTGGGAGAGAGAAGCAGCTTCTTCCTCATGCACAAGCCTGATAGAGGACAACTGCCCCTCCCCCCCACTCTCTCTTGTTCCACTGCAGCATCTGGAAAAATGGGATAGGGACCCCCCCTGCGCCTTTTGGGGAAAACACACACACACAGCTGTCTCCAAGGTCCACTGGTGGGTGCCTTAAAGAAAATAGACCCGGGAATTGCTCCCTGGATGGGTTTTCCTTTCTTAAGCAATTTAAGAGCATTGCCACCGTCTTGCAGACTTCCTTCCCTGCTTTTCCTTTTCCTTTTCCTGGCAATCTATTGTGGATGGACAAGCAGAGCTCCAAGAGGGATGGGGGCCCAACTTCAACCAATTTTTTTTAAAAGGGTGCAGCCCGGAGACCATGCAGCCACACACACACACACACACCCCGGCCCCAGAAAGAGCCTCCTGTTGCTGTTCCCTCTAGGCAGAGGAGCAAAGGAAGATGATTGAGGGAATCCCCTTCAGTTCTCTACTGCCTCCCCGTCACCCTGTCCGCACGTACCTCTTCAAGGTGCTGGGCTTCTTGGACCCCTTTCCTCTTGCCCCCCCAACATCTGCTCCAATGGCAATTATGGCTAAAAGCAAAAGCTCTTTGTCACTTGACTTCTTAACTCTTGTGAAAATAATTTGCCCTTTAACTTCTTGTGGACTAAGGCTGAAATGCAGGCTTTGTGGCCGCTATCTTTACTCAGTTAAGAAAAAAGGCTATGAACCCTACCATTTTCCATTCTCCTTCTGTCCTTCAGAATTTTCATTTTCAATATCTCATCTTCCAGACGTTGATTCTCTAACTCAACTGACAAGAGTTCTGCGTCCAAAGTCTTTGAGTTGAGATCATCTTCATATTCTGCAGAAATATGAAGGAGAGTCAGTCAGAAGCAAGGACAACTACAAGTTGTGACCGAGGAAAAAGCATTTGCTAAGGTTTTAGATTTACAGGATCTATCAATAGTTCACCTTAAAGATTCATACATGCATAATAAATAAGTTTTCATGGGTAAGGTCATACTATCCAGTGGAAGAGTTTCCTCATAGACTGGGTTAAGACTTCACATTAAGGTTACTGCATTTCATTTGGTTTTGGATTGCCATCTTGGATGCACCCAACCATTGAAGATATAAATTATAGTTTTAGTTTTGGCATGTGATATGAATTTAGTGATTATCTGTTAACAGTTTGCTGAGCTCAAGAGAGATGCAAACATTCTTGACTTAAGTGTAGGGTCAACATCCAAATTTGGGGTAAAGTTGATTGGAAAAACATAGCTCACTTTTCTTTCTACCCCTTTGTTTAGGCTTTGTGCTATTTTTTTCCAGTGCTGTGGCCTCCAGCTGCAGTTCATACATCTGACGGACAATGTGATGGTCACTGCCTCCACTCTGCAAGTAAGTCAGGTACAGCATCCTGTCAGGGATATGAACAGTCATCATCAAGAATTATTACAATTTTCCCCCTGACTGTATATATTTAATAGTTGCATTCCAAAAAAAATTATGCAAATTTTCATGGCATGGAAATAATTTGATGAAAAAGGATGCTTTTCATGCAGCTGCTATAGGGTTTTGGTAATTCACTGGTACCACTGGAGGGGAGTTAAGTATTCTCAAATTAGTAAAAAGTTTGCCTTTTCAATTGTTGGAGACAGTTTGTGTAGAAAATCAATCTAGGACATTTCGTCACTAGCAATTTATGATTTATATTATTATTCAGCCATCATCATGTCAAGAAACATGAAAAGTACAGTTTTATATTGCCACAATATAATGTGATGCTAGAGGAAATGGCCTTAAGAGTTGCAGATACAGGTTTGCTAAGTGATGGGAAAGTTTTATAGACAGAAACAATTAAAGATACAATCATCTCTATATATTCTAAGTTTACAGAAACTGTTACATGTCCTTCCAACTCTTCTTCCAACTCACTGTATCTCAGAAGAGAGGGGCCCAATAGCTGCTGGAAACACCATAGACTTGAAGATGGCATTCTCGTCCATTTTATTTACAGTGCCATCTGTCTTTCTATTGGTGGCAGAATCCAGATTGCTTCTAAAAATGAAAAAGGAGGCATTTATTTATTGTAAGTAAAGGAAAAGGTTTCCCTCACACATATGTGCTAGTCATTCCCAACCCTAGGGAGCAGTGCTCATTTCCGTTTCAAAGTCGAAGAGCCAGCGCTGTCTGAAGACGTCTCCATGGTCATGTGGCCGGCATGACTAAATGCCAAAGGTGCACGGAACGCTGTTACCTTCCCACCAAAGGTGGTCCCTATTTTTCTACCTGCGTTTTTAATGTGGTTTCGAACTGCTAGGTTGGCAGAAGCTGGGACAAGTAACGGGAGCTCATCTCGTTATGCAGCACTAGGGATTCAAACCACTGAACTTTTGATCAACAAGCTCAGTGTCATAGCCACTGAGTCACTTATTTATTTTACTTATTTATTAATGTTTTATATGCCCCATCTCTCCCATAAGGTGCTTTGGGTGGCTTACAGGTTAGAAAACAAATAGAAAAATAATAATAATAAATATTAAAATATTAAAACTATGCAGATTAAAAATTTAAAAACAATAAAAAAACCAAACTGAGACAGAATGGCACAGAGATGAAATCTTTCTACTCTGTCAACACCTCCAGTGGTGAGCAACCCGGGCCCCATGCTAACCGGCAAAACCAAATTTTAATGCCCTTCCAGAAGGCTAAAAGGGTGGGAGCAGTTCTCATGTCTGGTGATAAGAGTATTTGGATGAGCCCACGATGAAAAAGGCTCCTCTCTTTGACCCCACCTGCCAGAATTCCTTAACAGAGAATTGGGGGTTATACAAGAGTCCTTTTGCTTTCTCCGTTCATTGGCGATGCATATTTATGTTCTCAAGCACGCTATAACAGTCATATTACAGATATCCAGACAAATATTATTAATATGGTCTGGACTGTCTTTGATGCCTCACATGGTATGGACTAAAACATTGTCATATAGATCTTGACAAAAATGTGTTCAATTCCGGAGCTCTCTGTCCTGGAGTCTTACCTGTTCCCTGTTGCTACCTGCAGAAGTTCCACCTGTTCCCTCAGTGCATTTAAAGTCAACTTGTTCTTTTTTTCTTGGGTATTCAGCTCCATCAACAACTCTTCTATCTGAGATGAAGAGGAGTTCCCTAATTTCAGCTCTGACAGGCGTGTACGAATTTCTAGGTAAATACAAAATGGAACAAATTGTGCTGGAACAACTGCATCAATTAACGTATGGTTCAGGAACACTTTATATATATGTTTCATTAATATATGTGTTCTTCTGACCTGTTTCTCAGAAGGAGTAGATTGTCAAATGTCAGGAAAATCAGGAGATTCCGATAGTTCAAATGGATATAAAGATATATTGTAAGCTTGAGCTCTCTACAAGAATCTGAACTACTAATGGCCAAGGGAAATTAGTGGGAGATAAGAGTAGAAGGAATTCAAGCTGGGCTAGATTCACATCTCTTGTGGGTGTGAAGGATCATGACTAATGACGCTCCCTCGGGCTCAGCCTTGTTATCACTTACATAGATCAGAGATATATACCTGTGTTTTAATCATATGACAACACTACTAGTAAATAGTTCTCCATAAAGAAGACCTCAGAAATGTAATCTTAACATGCTAGGGTAAAAGTTAGGTTTGAACTTTTTTTCTGAAATTATAATTTATACATGTATAGATCATTTGTTGCCTCTGGATTGAACAACTCTGATACAAACTTGCTCTTGATGAGAAATCTCCTCTGTCTTTTGGGAGTTGGGAAATTCCATACATAAAATATCAGGTACAAGCACCATTGAGGTGGTATTCTTTCATTAACTGCTTCCTTCTCTTATGTGGTATACATGGCATAATTACCCCTGTGTGCTAGTCTCAAACACTTTTGGCTAAATGAAAGTTCATTTATCCTTGTTACTTTTTTCTCCAATTCAGCTATCTCCTTAACCTGAACGAGGAACAAAAGGGTGACAATTCAGCAAAATCTCTAATTTTCAAATTACCATCTTTTTGCTGTTCCAGGTGTTGGTTGCTAGCTTGGATTTCAGCCAACTGGCGCTCATGTGCACCTACTATTTGCCTATGACGCTGACAGTGTTCTTGCTGGTGAGGTGTTTGGTTTTCATTCTAAGGGTCAAGCAAAGACACTAGATTCAAATAGATGTTTCTCCTACAGCAAGAGCAAGGAATTCTCCAAAGGTAGATTCTGAACCTTAAGTTCCAACCTCCATCAACACTGACCATGTTGGGTGGAATGTCTAGGAATTATCATACACTAAATCATGACTATGTGAATTATGGTTCTGCATTGCACAGTTAATTATAAAAAAGATGATTATAATAATTAAATTATAGTGATAAGCTTGTAATTTAACACCATTAAACACCCATATCTGCCTATCTCAGGTCCTTGGGAAGTACTTGATAGGTGGAAAAAAATGTAGAATCCAATCTGAACATCTGGCTCACTGTGCAAGGAACTATAATGATAATAATTTTCAAAATAATCTGTAGCCCTAGACTAACAAGAGAGAAAAGCAGTACTGCCTAGATGTATGTGTGATGTTATAAATCTCTCTTCAGCCCCCAAAATATATGTTAAAGTTTCTCAGGTTCATTTAATTGCCCCCACCCGAATGATGAATGAATGTTGCTTATTATTTTACTTTTATGTATTGTGTGTGTTTATTGTTTGTATACCCCCTCCCCTCATTTTATGTAAGCCGCCCTGAGTCCCCTCAGGGAAAAGGGCGGCCTATAAGTATTAATAAATACTCTAAATACTCTAAATTTACCCCTACCTGAAATGTCCGAAATGTTGGATGTGTGCCTTCAAGTGATATCCTCAATTTGTGGAACTGTGAAATAGAAAAATTACTAAATAGCATACTTCCTTTCTAAAGGTGGGTAAAACCCGCACTAATTAATTTATTGCTATATCAAGATTCGTACTTGAACACTATTAACTTATTTCATTTACCATGAAATACCATGTAGTAGGACTATGTAGGAGAAATTTGAAAAATTATCCAAAAGCTAAAGCACAGTTTAAAATGTCTAAGTCCTAAATCAGTGGTTAATTACTCTGGTAAAGGTTGATGAGCTGATAGGAGCAGAGTCATCTATGAGAAAGACAAAGATTTACCTCTTCAGTCAGTTTTTTCAAGGCCTGGTTATCTGAAACTCTTCCATTATCATCGGAGCTTCTAACATTATGGACTTGTTGCTCGTGTTCCCCATTTCCCTTGACATATCTGAAATTGTCTCTTTCTGGCTTCGACACATGAAGCTGATAATGTTGATCCATTAGATACCAGCAACCAAGAGAGAAAATAAATCATTACTGTATGACCAGGGTACATATTCAAGAAGATTGGAATGTCTTTTATATGTTAGCTATAGCTCCCATAATTTCCAGCCAGCAGTAGTCATTCTATATTATGTTCAAGAGGAAAAGAAAATATTTTGTGAGAAGTTAGAAATTTGTTTTCTTCTTCTTTTACAAGAACAACTACTACTACTACTACTACTACTACTACTACTACTACTACTACTACTACTACTACTACTACTACTAGAATAAACAAATGCATGCATCTACTCTTTTCCTAATGCTTGGTTGCAATAAGAGAGTATTGGATGAAATTAATCTATTCAAGAAGGTGGCTCATAATCATTAGAGTGCCATAATTACAGACATACTGTATATGAGCAGTACTACAATTCTCCATTCCTGTACCATTTTTTCTTCTAAACATTTTAAAAAGCTTATTTTACTTGATGACAAATTTAGCATTCCTATACTAAATAGCTGAAACACACAAGTACTTCCATGGGTTACTCCACTGACTGTTCCTTTGGAGTCTCTCAGATAGAAAATCTGGGTCCCTAGAATAAAGTTTTTACAAGAGCAGCTTCCAAGAAAACCGTAATTAAAGTTTATTGACTGATTATTCTTAATATCATGATAAAGAAAAAAGGAGAGCGATAGAAAATATTAGCAAACTATTAGGAACAGTTATCCCCAACATAAGGAAAACAAGATGTGATCATTTAGGTGGTTATTCAGCATACAAAAACAAAACAATTTTATCTCCTACTAGTCTATCAGAAAAAAGTTGGCATAAAGTTCAGGATCATTATCAAACCTATCCTCAATCACAGGAAATGTTTTTAAAGTGTACTTATCTATTATGTTTATCTGTTCCTGGAACTGATAATACTGCAATCTCCTGCTCTCATCTTCAGACCAATCAAAGTAACCTTCAAAATAATTTTTATTAATAAAAATCAAGTTGTCCTTTTTACCATGCTGTCTGCCATTTCTGTTTTCTTGGGCTCTTTCCCTTTATGCTGTGCTTGCCTGTGCCGGTATTTTATATTCATTGCCATTTCTCTTCCAATGCAGAATTTTTCCATGTGCTTCTCTAGCAGTCGCCTAGAGCGGAACCCCATTTCACAGTTACGACAGTGGAAAAATGCTATATCTGTCATCTTAAAAAGTATTTCCAGATATTTACAAAGGGTTATACTTATCAGTATGCAAAAGGTGCTGGCTACTCATATTTCCTTGTAGGAAAGAACTGTCGTATCATTTGGAGTTTTTGGTTGCTATGCTGGTAGTTATGGGGTGTAACCAACCTGACAAAATAATAGAAGATTGCCCACAGTAGCTGGAAATATCACCATGCCAGTTATTACTGTTTATGTTTGCAATACCAGGGTTACAATGAGCAATCTTCCCAACTTGTATTCTTTGGCCAACCTGGCTAGAATTCTAGAAGGTTCAAATTCCAGTGTGCCTGAACATTATTAGTTTGTGGAAAGCTGATTCAGGAATTTACAAGGGAGGGGGCCCCACTGGACAACTATCTGCCTTCACAGTCCTATTATTTTACATCGAGGATCTCTATATTTAATTCTTCAACACTGCAAGCTGGCATTTCTGGAGTAAGCACGGGACGACATCTATACTGATAAACTCCAAATCCCGAGGAAGAATAAATGTGATGAATAATATGAAAGAAAATGCACCTTTAGTGCTATTTGGTGCATTAGACAATAGTAAGCAATTATACTGTTTGTTTATCTTTCATATAAAATGTTGCATGAACCCTTTGAAGTGTAGGTTGTTATCACCCAGTCCTCTCCCAGAAAAATGAGATATCCTAGGAAATATTGAAAAGGCAGAATATTTCTCTGCATATGAAAAGAAAGAAACATGTTTTAAAAGACAAAATAGCTGCCTGTAGCTTCCTACCCATCCCCACTTTATTAATGGGCCATTAAGAAGGCCAAGCTAGTCCACTTTACATAATAAAGACTTCTCCACTTTAGCTACAGGAAAGCATGATAATATTGGCCCCAACTGACCACATGGCATCGGAGAACTCAACCAAACCTGGATTCAAAACACAGCCCAGAGAGTTTCCCCTGCATGGCCCCATGGGAGTCTGACAAACAATCAGAATACATTTCTTACACAGAAACAGGAAACAGAGAAGTGGGACTGAACAGGTTATAAAAAGCCTAGCAAGCCCCTTCCTCAGCCCTTCTTCTCTTCTCCACCAACATTGAAGCATGTGATCACCTTTTCTGTTCAGGACTCAAGCCATGTGGTCCTGCCCAACAATAAACCATCTTTCTAAGCAGCCTCCATGTCTCCAGTGTCTTTTTCCCCACTTGGAGCCGAACCCAGAAATACATTTCTTTCATCAGAAGTTTGCAAAATCAATCATTCATTCAATTCATCATTAGTATGAATTCAGCCAATTGTGTGCTGTTCAAAAAACATGATTGAACAAATCATAGCTTAGCACACAATACATGAATCTGTCATGCCTAGAAAATCAGCCATAGAATAAGTGGAGAAGCAGAAACAATGGAAAAAAGCCAGTGTTTTACATAAACAAATGTATTAGCTATTAGAAGTGCAGATGGCAGCTATAGAGCTATGAAGCATTTGGTAGAAAGACTAATAAGGCTTACTCTTGTGTATCTAGTTCTTTCTTCTGGTGGAACCAATTAAAGCATCCCCAATGCATTCAGGTTTTCAAAATTATAGCCCAAACTTTCTTCTATTTGTTGAAACAAGCAATACTTTCCAGCAGCCAGTGAGTATTGGTTATGATGGTCAACAAGCTTTAGTTAGTTGTAAGTGCTGTTTCCCTCTATCTGGATCTCCATGGTGATGAGCTGAACAGCAGTTAAGCCAGAGGAGAAAATTAATCAGCTTGTCTGTAATAGCAGGCAGATTCAAAAATGAGGAAAAGATTCTGCAGTCACAACAGGCCAGCATAGAAACTTGTGAGCTTGACAGCCAATTTTCTGATGACATTCTTTTATAGCAATATACTGAATACTGAATCTAATGTTGGAGCACGTTTGAAAATCACTTACTGTAATTAAAATAACAATGCAACTAAGATTTTTTGGTTTATTTCAAGAAAACTGAAAAACCTTTTCATAAGTTTAACATGTTAGAGTTATGTATGCCTGGAAAGGAGTTATATGTATTTTAATAAATGTGCTGGCAATTTCTTTCCCCAAAAATGATACTATTAATTTTGACTCCCTTTATTTTTCCTCTGTTTAGGGGCATATGGACCAATAAAACATGAATAATATTGGTAAAACTCCTGGATATTTCTATAAAGACCCCCAATTTTTTAAAGTTACAGACCGCCAGCCATCAAATGCATCCCCCAGAATATAGATGACACGATTTATAAATACCACGAGAACAATTAAGTGATTTAATTTGTTAGGGCAAGGGTGCCCAAACTTGGCAACTATGCTGGCTGGAGAATTATGGGAGTTGAAGTCCACAAGTCTTAAAGTTGCCAGGTTTGGGCACCCCTGCCCTGAGAAGGACTACCACTTCCTGTACTGTCTGCATCAGTTTTGAATCGACTTTAGCATCTTCTGCTCCCAAGCCTCTCTGGGAAATGTAGTTTTAAAGTGGACAACGCGAGGACCTCCCACTGCATGCTGGGAGATGTAGTTCTGCAAACGTCGAAGTCTCTGGACGGACGTCGTTTCCCGGCAGCCTTTTCGGCGCGCCCCATTCAAAGCGGCGGCAGTTGGTTGAGCGCTCTTGTGTGGTAGTGGGCTAGTTTGCAGGCGTCTTGAGATTTCTCTGGTAGTGTAGTATGGATTCCAACATTTACAAGTGCCTTCAGCCTGGCTTATCGATTAATATTGAGCGCAGCAATGGTGAGTGCCGAGAGGAGAAAGGCGATTTGCTTCGGAGCGTCTTTTGCCTCCTTCCGTAGCCCTGGTGTTCTCTGGAGGCTCCACGAGATTAATGCTTAGTGCGTTATTGCCGCTTTCCTGCGGATTCGCGTGTCTGTAATGCAGAAGGATGGTGGCCGGGCTAAATTCCAGACTCTTTTCTCCTGTTCTTCGGGACAGAAGAGTTGTCAAAGAAGCAAGTTAAAGTCGGGCTATTCTGCCCCTTTGCCCCACGTTACTCGCTGGGACTAGCTAGCGGGGATGAGCGTGTGCTGAGCAGTACCTCCATGTGGGTTCGCTGCTTGGTGCTTTTTTAGAACAGGAGTGGGGAACTGTGGCCCTTTTAAGACTTGTGGACTTCAACTCCCAGAATTCCTGAGGCAGCATGGCTGTCTCAGGAATTTTGGGAGCTGAAGTCCACAAGTCATCAAGGGGCCATAATTCCCCACCTCTGTTTTAAGAGCTGAGTGCAAGGAAATTTCACTTCAATTAGTGTACATTTCAAGTGACAATAAAGTTTTTATTCTGTGATTCTATTGTAACAACGGTGTGATAATTTCCACTGAAAATTTCAAGCTATTGGTTTCTCTCTCTTGCAGAACATACAACAACATGGCCTGTGGTAACATTGTTTAATATTCTTAATCTTTGGAGTGCACATTGTTTCAGCTGGAGATGATAGTAATATAAGTGCTCTGGATAATACCAATAAATAACTGGCTTTTTCACAAGGAGAAAGTAGCCAGATTAGTGTCTAGATTTCAGCAGAACTGACTTAATAGGCTAAGGGGTTAAAAATAGGAACGATCGATTCCATGGATAGGACTTCTATGGGGAAATCCAATTTAGGAAGGTTGAGAAGTGACATGACTGCACTTTGGCTGCTTGGCATCTGATCAATATTTGCTATTTGCAGCATCCCGATCACAATTACAAATTTTTGGCCAGAAACTGATTTATTTCCAATTTTTGATTTAAAAAAGGCAATTTTGGACAATCAATACATTTACTGACTATTGCAGATGGTTGTAGCTTGTAAAATGGGACTTGGTCAAGTGGTGACCTGTTTAATGACTAAGCAGTTGGATTTTTTAAAGCATCCTGGTTTATAAATTTTTTATTCTAGAAGTAATGTTAGAAGGGTTGATTCAAGGCTTATAATCAGTTTCTCTAATTTCCAATGAACATAATTGAAGAGGGAAAATATACCATGGAGCATCATGCCTTTTAAGATTGTTACTCATAAGAGGGAAAGTTATATAACATTAATACTTAATTTTTTTGGTTATGATAAAAAGTCAAGTATGAACTTGTAGTTCTGTGTTCACATCATATGTCTTAGATATATAATTTATAAGTATTTTCTTTTAGGTTCAGTCCATGGTGCAATTATCAAAAGGGTAAGTTTGGAAGAAATGACTGTATCTGTAGAATGGACAGAAAGCAACAATATCAAAGGGAAAGAGGTGAGAATTTGAAAGTATGATCTATGTATAAAACAACACTTTTAAAGCTATTTAGCACACATTTCTTCCTTAATTCTTAATTGAAGCCTGCTCGAATCATTATAAAACAGGCTTATGTAGAATTAGTAAGAAGAGACTAACTGGAAATAATTAAATATATATTTCAAGGTTATTTTGTCCACAGGTATTCTTTTCCCATTTCATAATGGGAAGAGGGTTTTTTTTCATTCTTTTTGCTGAAGACCAACCAAATAGCAGTTTCCCTAAAAAATGTTGGCATTTTGTTATTGGAAATTTTAAATGGAAGTATATTTTAAGAAATCATATAAAAACAGTACATTCCCAAGATTACTTACAAGATAAGGCATAAATGTTTATGTCGAATGAATTTAAGTACAGTATTCCATGCAGAGTATAAAGTCCTTAAAGAAATAGAGCAACAACTTCTAAAAGCCATGGATAGTCTCCAGAATTATTTCAAAAGTTGCCACCAAATTTATAATTTAAATTACAGGGGAAAAAAATTCTAAAGTGCCAATTTAGAAGTAGGCTTTATATATCCCTATATACTTTCAAGAAAAAATGAGTAATTGTCATTATATTTATTTCAATATTAACAGTTGGTCGTTTGACTCTGATAAGTACATAATATATCTGCTCACAATGAATGTAATAATTGTGTTATAACTATACAGTGTTTCTAAGCTGTCTGTATTTCACGTCCAATAGAGCACTAAGTATTTATCTCCCAGCACTACGTTGTTTATTTTATTACACCTTTTTAATATTTATACCGTAAATTTAAATTGGTGAACCTACATAGTGTTCCTTCTTCTTCCTCTTCCTCACAAGAGGAAGAGAGAGTATCAGGTCTAAAGTTACCCAGCCAACTTTCATGCCTGAAGCAGGACTAGAATTCAGTCTCTTGGATTCTACTCTGGTGCTTTAGCCACTAGACTAAACTGACTCTCACATGTAGGGCATTGTAATTAATGTGAAAGAAAATAGTAATTATTAAATTAAGTATATTTGTTTTAAATATCAAAGAAATGAAATCTCTATTTGTCTTGGCTACATTTATACACTGTTCTCTTCCTACTTGTTTAAGGAATGCATCACTAGTCCCTAGAGTGATTCCTTATCAGAAATAGATTCTCTTGCATACTAGTGTATGAAGGCAACAAAAATAACTAGTTCTCTTATTTGCCCACTGTATATTCTCTAATTATTGTTGTATAGCTTCCCCTAACTGCTGCATGTCATATATCTATCTATACATATATTTCCTGTTATATATAGCAGGAAATACAGCAATATAGCAGGAAATCTAAAAGCAAAGGGTTGAATTAGTAAGTTGGCTGTTTAGAGTACAATTCTAATATAGTAGTTGGGAATTGTTATACTTA